GGATCCAGCGGGGGGTTTTGGGGGTTAAACTACGTGTAAGTCAGTGGCGGACCCACGGGGGGTGTTTTAATATGGCGTCTATGTATTAAAACACCTGCCGTGGCTCCGCCACTGACTGACACGTAGTTTAACCCCCAAAGCCCCCCGCTGGATCCGCCACTGATACAGCCGAATAAATATGACCACACATTACGAAACCAAATGGAACGCACATTGCATATGGGTTAATAAAAGTGGATTTGCAATTGTTTACGACAATTTAAAATTACAATTTAAAACACAACTACTTTTAAATAGTTGAACTCCACTGGTTTGAAGCTTTTGAAGATTTTTATCCAGTTTTAAAGTAGGGGTCTTCACAGCGAGCTTGGTACTCGGTGTTCGGTAATTTTCCCAATACACCTATTTTGTTTTTGTTATATTATTTTATTATCGGTGTACTGGTTACCGAATTATCGTGAAGGAAGCTTACAAATTTTTCTGGTAGTTGGTAAACAGCAATCAGCTGTTCGATATTTACTCAATTTAAAATCCGCCCACCGCCGTTACAATTTTTTTTTTTTTTTTTTGTAAGAAAAAGCTACGACTCTGTTGTTGATAAACATATGCCGATTTAGTTTGCCCTCTACGCACAAACACTAAGAAGAGGGCGATGAGAAGGCAACATTTTTTGTAGAAACGAAATCGCCAATAGTTTACCAGACTAACAAAAGAAAACTGAAAAGGACGTTCACAGTTGATAAAACTACCGAGTGTCAACCAGCAAATTACCAAAACTACCAAAATGGCTGTGAAGACCCTTAGTGTAACATTAGCATTTATTAACTGATAGATTATTTTGACTGAACAAATCAAATTCCCTCTCCTACTTTTCTGTCTCTTTTTTAAATCAGAGTCAGCAATGCAAATTAACGATTTTGTTCCAATTCTAGAACAAATTTAATATAACTAAAAGCATGGTTGGAGAACAAAACTAAACAAATGCATCGTTGGATTTTGGATTACGTTATCATTTAAAAAATTTTTTACGTACATACTTACATGTACATTTATTTAATTAGGGTGAAAAACTAAAATAAAAAAATCGTCATTACGGGGGAAAATTCATCAAAACGTCATTGAGCTAAAAAAACGTCAAAATTACGACGAAATCGTCAATCCGGCAACGCTGCGTACAATACTAAAATAGCTCAGCTCCGACTCTAATATCGCAAGCTCAAATCGTGGTGGAGGCAGTTCATTTCGTTGATTTTCATATTTAGTAAATTAAAACTGTTGAGTTCCGCTTAAAAATTGAAGAGAGAATTATCAAATTTAATATAAATAAAATAAAAGAATAAAAAAATTAAAAAAAGCAATCTATAAAAAACAGAAAAAATTACAAAAATATCAAAAAATCTAATCAAAATTTTTTGCATAAAAAACTTATTGTCGCAAATCTGTCCAAAATCAAAAAACAGTTCAGAAAAGAAAAAAATATCCAGTAATCTAGTTATAAAATTTTTTCTCATAAAAAACTTATTGTCCCGGAATTGTCGAAAATGTAATCAGTTTAGAACTAGTTCGGAAGTTCGGCAGAGGTGGCAATTTTCACTTCGTAGGACATCGCCATGTAAAAAAGAGACAGTTGAAAGCATTGCGTTGGGATAGATCGAGAACCAGTACCGCCTCTTAAAGAGCTAGTTCTGCGATAGTTCTGAACTAGCGCGATTTACTGCAGGGTTGTTACCGATTCACACACGCCCTCACTTGCGATTATTAGTCTGTTCCTTTGAACTTTGGACTAAAACCTGTGGAACTGTCAAACTACAATTTTACTCTCTCAAGTGAGAGTAAAAGAAGAACAGATGCAGAAGTGCACGGGAACGCAAAAATCACTATTTCCTGTAAAAACGTCAGTCGGTTTGTTTACATGTCATTTGTACAACACTTATTTGGCTGAAATATCACTAAATAATTATTAAAATCTATACATATTCAAACATTTCGTTGTTTACTTCCATTTTTTACAAATATAAGGTTCTTTGCCTTCACCGCTTTTTGTTTTTGCTTGCACACGCAAATCAGCTGATCGTTTGACACTTTTCATGAACTTACACGAAAAAAAAACTCCGGACTAAATCCTGTAACTTCTGACTAGGAACAGTTTCTCAGTTACTCTCTCAAAGGTGTTCCCACTTACAGGTTTTATGTCAATAGGAACGACTTCCTGTTAGTTCTGACTAAATCCGGTAAACCGGACTGCAATTGGAACAGACAATATATTTATTTTGATTTGTTTCTGTCAAAGCAGCTGATTAAGAACTTCGAACTCCGCGCTTTTAGCTGGCAGTTCCGTTGATAATTAGGATCGGATTACAGCACACCAATTTTCGATTTTTCGGAACGGCACTACGAATTCGTAACTACGAAGATTCGGATTACTGCATACGGATGTATAACTACTATGCCTGAAAAACTGGTTCTCAACCCAGTTAATGCAATAACAGCTTTTTCCAAGCCATTGAAAATATGCAGTTTGTTAGGTCCACGACCTGGTTGTGGTTGCTTCTGCCTTCGTTAAAGTTTTTAGATTAGGGTGATGCAATTGGATACAACAACCCAAAATCATTGCACAAATAACTGAACCCTACCCAAGTTTCTCGATAAGGGACAACAAACATACTTTTTTGTTCGTCTATATAAAGCAGTGGATAAAAATATATGTATATGCGAAAGTAAAATTTATCTCTTTAAAAGAACACCACTAATATTTCCTGCACACATCGACTTACATCATTTTGCTTAATTGTTGCAAAGAACGTGAATCTATAAGAAGAGACAACACGTTATAATTGTAACGAGTGGAAACATCAGGAGCGTGCTTTCTTTTTTGGCCAAATACGTTTTGTTATTGGATGAAAAGAGAAGACACGCTCCTGATGTCCACACTCGCTACAATTATAACGTGTTGTCTCCTCTTATAGATTTACGTTCTTTGATTGTTGTCTCGCTGCCGACACTGTATTGTTTTCGTACAAAATTTCGCGAAAAAGCTGTCAATTTCTTACTCCTTCGTTTTTAGGCATGCCATTGTTACGAATTTCCAAAGTTCGAAGGTACGATTCGGATTGTAGCATTCCATTTCTACGATTCGTTGCAAAATCCGATTACGAAAGTGTTGCAGAATAGGAGTGTTAGTAAGGGTTGTAATCCCTAACACGGCCAAAGGCAGAAGCAAGCGCAACAGGTGGTGGACCTAACAAAGTGTAAGTTTTGAATGACTTGGAAGAAGCTGTCTTCAGGCATAGGAGGAGTTATGGCTTGTGGTTCAACAATTCAACCAGAAGCTCATAGATGCGTCCATGGTTATTTACTATGCCCGACAGCCCCGCATATCTTTATGAAATCATTTCCATAGCGCGCTCATACTTCGCTGCTATAATTGCAAATGCAATAAAATCCATCGTTTCCTTCAAAATATGTAAAATCAAACAATTTTACTATAAATAAGCACTTGAAGAGTGTTTTTCTAATTCCTTTCCACTTTGTTTTTCTTCATATCAGGGTTGCCGTTTTCAGCTTTCCTATCAAATTGGTAGGGTTTTCTCTCGTTGGTAGGATGGTAGGACGCTTAAAATTTTGGTAGGTTTCTTTGCTCATAAAACAGAAAACATCTCCAGCTTGTTGTAATGAGTCACTTTGTCAGCAATGTGAGTAGGCTTTCCAAATTTTGACAATATCAATTTTACCTTCATTCATTTAAAAACCTCGTCGGTTACTGGTATAGGCAGAATTCTACCAATTACCTTCGGAAATTATCTGAACTCTATATTCGTATAAAAAGTCTTATCCACTACGTATCTAAATATCAAGCGATTGAATTGATGGATGTAAAGGCAGGTTTATAAATGAGATATTTTTCTTTGAAATGCAGTTGCGAATCGTTAATAGTTTCAACAATGACAAGGTTGTTAAAATATTTTAAATGGCAATAGAAGATTGATTCAAAACAGAAAGAAAGTAGAAAGGAATTAAAAAAACACTCATGAAACGCTTGTTTGTATATAGTAAAATTGTTTGATTTTACATATTTTGAAGGACACGATGGATTCTATTGCATTTGCAATAACAGCGGAGTAAGCGCGCGCTAAGGGAATGATTTCACAAAGATATGCGGAGCTGTCCGGCATAGTAGCCATGGGCGCATCTATGTCAGCTTCTGGTTAAATTGTTGAACCACAAGCCTCCTATGCCTGAAGAGCTGGTTTCCAATCCAGTTAATGCAATAACAGCTTCTTCCAAGCCATTGAAAACATGCACTTTGCTAGGTCCACCACCTGTTGCGCTTGCTTGTGCCTTCGGCCGCGCTTAGGGATTATAACCCTTGTAAAAGATATACAACATTTCTTGTGTATATCACTCTGGCTACGCCATCCACAGTATTTTTGCTCAGACCGAATGTGATAAATTGAGTAGCGCCATTATGAATTTCCTCACTCAATCTTATAACTCGCCGTTTTCAATGTGTTCAGCACTTTAGTTTGTAATTCGTAAATATGGGTCACCCAGTTTTTAGCCCTCCAATTGTCATTTAAATTTGCGCTTGTTCATTCCATATTTGTCATTTGCTGAAGTAAGAGGGCGAAAAAACTGCGGTGAGTAAACCTTTCATTATTTAATGTATTTGTCGATTATTGTTGCCTATTAATTGTTCATTTATAGAAATAAATGCTTCCGCTACCATTTGTAAATGTTCGTAAATGTTTTTAATCGCCATCGAAGTGGAAACATTAAATTTGCAAGCCCTCGGACAAATGACATCTTTATTTCGCAGTTTTCACAAATTCTGCGAATTTGCCGCCATTTTGTGATTGCCACTCATTGGAATATTGTCTGCCTAACTGTTGAAGTCCGCCATGGCCTGTGATTTACAGTTTTTTTCTTGTGCTGTAAAAGGGAAGTAATTTTGAAGTGTGCCGCGAATGGAACGCACGCCACCTCGCCGGAGCGCTAGAAACATGCAATCATCAATAAATGAAACCGCCGTCACGTCAAGAATTGTGCCCGCTCCAGGGAATCGATCTGCAACCGCCACCACGTTGTCGGGAACTGTGAATGCTGCAATGAATAGACCTGCAACCGTCACCACGTTGTCGGGAACTGTGCCTGCTGCAGGGAACAGATCTGCAACCGCCATCAAACCACAAAGTACGACCCTTACAACCATGAGCAGCCCAGCCGCCTTTATTGTTACGCCGTCACCACTCCAGCCATCAACACCACAGGTAAGTCTCTCTCATACTTTGCATATACCCTCTGCCACCACCACGAATGCACCGAGCATAGAGTTGCTGAACAACCCTACAGACGATTCTGGACTGCCTAACTTCGGCCAACAACAAACGTACCCTGCCCAACCTGTACCTGAGCCCCAAGTGGAGTCAAATGCCAGCTCCACGCACAATAATGGTACCGTCGGGAAATCAACCGTCATTCCCACCGTCGCTTCTGCTGAAGCCGTTGTCGCCAATCCAGAGTCAGTCTTCCCCGCAACAGTGTATGCCAGTGCGCCATCGCAGTCCTCAGAGAGCATGCTTGTCTGTATGCAAAATCAAATCGCCATTTTACAGCGCCAACTTAAAGAAACAGAAGTTAGGTTAGCTAAATCAGAATTGGAGAAAGATAGGAATTTGTCAGATAGGCCAAATAACGTTTTTTCGGTCACTACAGTTACACCGGTCGAAAGTGGCGCCGTGCCAACAACAATTTCAAATCAAGCACATACTGCCGCACACATGCAGCAGCATGACAGCAACATGCTTTTCAATGCATCACAAGAAAATATGCCTACGCAACCGGTGTATATACACCCAACAACATTTGCTTCAACAAGTTTAAATAATACATATACCAACTCGCTTACATCTAGTTCGGTTGATTCCGCTATACAGCGGCAAAGAGCGGCGAACAACCAATTAAATATTTTCGGTTCCACAATTCCACACAAAAAACTTATCGACCTTCCGGAGTTTTCTGGTCAACCGGAAGACTGGCCAATTTTTTATACAGCGTACGTCGAGTCGACTGCGGCATATAGTTACACGAATTTTGAAAATAATCAACGCCTTTATAAGTGCCTTAGGGGTGAAGCTCGGGATGTGGTAAAATCCCTTTTGATTCACCCAAATAATGTTAATGCTGCCGTTGAACATTTGCGCGCACGTTTCGGTCGTCCTGAAACTCTGATCCGTAGCCAGTTGAAGCAAATCCGAGAAATTCCTCCGATTTCGGAAAATAATGTAGGCAAACTTGTGCAATTTGCTACAACAACAAAAAATCTTGCTATATTTTTAAAATCAATCAATGGTGGGCACCATTTAGCTAATCCAACGCTTTTGGAGGAGTTGGTAGGGAAGTTGCCTATGAGCAAAAAGTTTGAATGGGCCAGACGTGCAGCAACCCTTTCACCGTATCCAAATATAGAACACTTTAGTGACTGGCTGTCAGAAATTGCCGCTTTAGTTTCCGTTGTACTAGACCATGAACAGCGAGAATATCGACGTCGACCAGTTTTTCATGTAGCTGAGATTCAACGTGACAACTCCACAAGTTCCATGAAGTGCCCCGTATGTAGTGCCAAGCATAGAGCTTTCGAGTGTAAGCGACTTTTAGACGCCAACGTAGCAGATCGGTGGTCTATGGTTAAGCGACACCGACTCTGTTTTAGTTGCTTAAACTGTGGCCATTCTACTCGAGATTGCCACAGAAGAAAGACATGTGCAATAAATGGCTGTGGTAAAAAACACAACAAACTTTTACATGAACAACGAATTGTAAGGTCAAGAGATACAGGTGGGCCCACGACAAATAGTACAACTCAGACTTCCATCCCCACAAATGAGGCAGTTTTAAATTGCAAAGCCAACAACCATCCCAACAATAAATTACTTTTTAGAGTTTTGCCTGTGACCCTTCATGGGCCATCTAAAAGTATAGATACCTACGCATTACTGGATGAGGGATCGTCAGTGACAATGGTCGACAAAGAAATACTGGAAGTGTTAGGCGTCAGTGGTCAACGTAAGCAGCTGGACATACAGTGGTTTGGAGGTAGAGCAATCCAGGAACCCACAATTGTAGTTGATCTTTATGTAAATGGGCGCGGGTTGGGGAAAAAGCATAAGTTACGTAATGTTTACGGGGTAAGCAATCTCAATCTACCTACGCAAACCTTGTTAGTAAAAAGATTTGGTTAATCTAAAGAGTAGCGATAAATTTAATCATTTGTTGTACTACGACGTTACGCCGAAGCTCCTTATAGGTTTAGATCACTGCCACCTTGGGTTGCCTACTAAGACCATGGGCATTGGAGGACATGGTCCGTATGCAGCTAATACCGAGCTTGGTTGGGTCATCTTTGGGCCTTCCAATAGAGCATCCAATCCAAATGCTACGTGTCTGATGGTGTGTTCGCCGAAGGAGTCGGAACTTCACGATATGGTAGCTGACTATTTTGAAACGGAAAACTTTGGTGTGAAAGCTGTATCCCCGATACCAAGTGCTGAGGACATACGTGCCAAGGAAATCTTGGAAGCTACTACTCAACAGATCAACGGAAGGTTTCAAGTAGGTCTGCTGTGGAAAACAGATGACATTGTGTTGCCGGAAAGTTACACGATGGCCTTGAAGAGATTGTGTGGCATTGAGCGCAAGATGAAACGTAATGCAGAGTTTGCCACAGCATACAAAGAGATAATCGAAAGTTATCTTAGAAAGGGGTACGCCCGCAAACTGCTTGCTGAAGAAGCCACTACGTACCATCCGAGGAACTGGTACCTGCCACATTTTGCAGTCCTCAATCCTAATAAACCGACGAAACTGCGTCTCGTTTTTGACGCGGCAGCTTTTTCGAATGGAACGTCACTCAACTCAAACCTGTTGAAAGGACCACAGGATTACCGCCCGCTCCCCGCAATACTGTTCCATTTTCGCGAAGGCCCAGTGGCAGTATGTGGCGATGTCATGGAAATGTTCCATCAAGTCGTAGTTCAACCAAATGATCGATGCGCTCAGCGATTTCTATGGCGTGGAGGAGACGATACAAAGCCGCCAGATGTTTTTGAAATGGTTTCGATGACCTTTGGAGCAGCTTGTTCACCATGTGCAGCTCATTATGTGAAGACGATGAACGCCTTGCAACATCGTAACGCAGATAATTTGCGAGCAGTGAAGGCTATACTGGAATATCATTACGTGGATGATTTTGTCGACAGTTTCGAGTCTGTAGCTGAAGCTATTAAAGTCACTAAGCAGGTGTGCGACATCCATAAACATGCTGGGTTTACCCTACGTCACTTCGCCTCGAATTCGCCTGATGTCTCAAAGTCACTGGGATGCGATGAAGTTGCACTGAACATCCAACGAAAAGAAAGCTTTTCACCTGAAAAAGTTTTGGGGATGTATTGGCGACCCAGCAGTGACGATTTCAACTTCGAGGTAAAGTTCAACTATACTGACAAGACTGTCTTGGATGGATTGAGAAGCCCAACAAAACGAGAACTTCTTAGTATTGTTATGTCGATATTTGACCCCATAGGGTTTTTGTGCCACTTCACGATCGTGGCGAAGTTGATACTAAGAGAAGTTTGGAGTTATCGGGTCAGATGGGATGAGGATATTCCGGTTGAAGTCAACTCAGCATGGGAGAGGTTCCGAAAGCAAATTCCCAACGTGACACAATGCCACATTCCGCGCCCTTATTTCGACAATAAAACTATAAAGCAATTGCAACTGCACATATTTGTTGACGCAAGTGAGCACGCATTCGCAGCGGTAGGCTATTGGAGGTACACAACAGATTGTGGCAAGATAGGTATGTCGTTTGTAAGCGCTAAGACTAAAACTGCTCCATTGAAGCCTCTAACGATTCCGCGTCTTGAACTTCAAGCAGCTGTTCTGGGTGTGAGGTTAAAGAAAATTATCTTTCAGGAACATTCGTTAAAAATAAATGAGTTTTTTCTATGGAGCGATTCAAGCACCGTCCTACATTGGATAAATAGCGAGCACCGCAGATACAAGCCCTTTGTCGCGCACAGGGTTGCAGAGATTCTTGACGAATCTAAGCCGAGCAATTGGAGATGGGTGCCCACGGCCGACAATGCAGCTGACGAAGCTACGCGTACCAAGGGCCCGATAGACTTCTCCTCATCGTCGCGCTGGTTCAGTGGGCCAACATTTCTTAAAGACATACGAGAGCATTGGCCTGTTTTTGTCTCCGCCACAAAAGTAAAGACTGTAGGTAACGATGACGAGGAGATCAAACCGAAATTTGCGTTAATGGTTGCGCGTAACACTCTAATCGACTTTAATCGTTTTTCATCGTTTACCAAGCTTAGACGTACTATCGCTTATATCCTTAGATTTATTTCGAGATGCAGAAAGCAGAAGCGAAGCCAGCAAACATATGGACTAACAGCAGAAGAGATTGAAAAGGCACAAATAACCTTAAGTCGTTTGGTTCAAAGGGAAACGTATGCCGTCGAGTTACACAGCATTGCCTTGAACCAACCAGTTTCGCGGGACAGTGAATTACATCAACTAAGTCCCTATGTTGATGAAGATGGAGTGCTAAGGGTCTACGGGAGAATTGATGCTGCCACTTGGCTTCCGCGTTACGTCAAACGCCCAATTATCCTGCCACCAGGTCATGAAGTTACGAAGTTGATAGTCGCTTTCAAACACAATAAGATGTTTCATCAAAACACAGAGGCAACCATCGCCGAAATTCGCCGCACATTCTGGATCCCACGACTTCGTCAAGTTCTGCGTTCCGTCGTCACTAATTGTGTCGTGTGCAAAGTATCGAAAGCAAAACCAGTTGCACCGTTAATGGGATCACTACCGCAGGACCGTCTAACGCCATTTGTCCGACCGTTTACGTTTACTGGCCTCAATTATTTCGGGCCGATCAACGTTGCGATAGGTCGTCGAACGGAGAAGCGATGGGTTGCCCTATTTACCTGCCTCACGGTGCGGGCCATCCATTTGGAATTGGCACAGGATCTCTCGACTGACGCTTGTATACTATGTATACGCAACTTTATCAACAGACGAGGAGTACCCGCACGTTTGCGTTCTGACAACGGAACAAACTTTATAGGAGCAGACAAGGAGGCTAAGAAGTTCACGGAAGTCTTTGATTGCGAGAAGATCCAGGACGAGCTGTCGTCGAGGGGAGTTCAGTGGATATTCAACTGGCCGAGTAATCCGTCAGAAGGTGGAGCGTGGGAACGAATGGTGCAGTGTGTCAAACGAGCCCTGTGGCATACTCTGAAAGAAGAATCTCCGAGAGAGCATACGCTGATAAGCGTGCTAATCGAGGTCGAGAACGTTGTTAATTCCAGGCCACTAACCCACGTTCCAGTAAGCAGCGAAGAGGAAGAACCATTGACGCCAAATCATCTTTTGTTGGGCTCGGAGAACACGGCTAACACTCCGAGCGTTGAGGATCCTATCAAGAAATTGTGCACTCTGCGTAAACAGTGGAGGATATCACGTCAATACCGAGATCGTTTCTGGAAACGCTGGATAGCAGAATATCTGCCAACGTTGACGCGAAGGGTTAAGTGGTGCCGCAGAGCAAGGGCATTACAGGTCGGCGATTTAGTACTAATTTGTGAGGCGAGCACACCAAGAAGGGGTTGGTGCCGTGGCAGAGTGGTGCAAGTATACAGGGGGACTGATGGTGAGGTTCGTCGTGCTGACGTTCGCACTTGCGGTGGTATGTTACGACGTCCTGTATCCAAATTGGCCATCCTGGACGTGGCGGATGAATAATGGTGGAACGAAGCGTTCCACGGGGTGGGGGATGTGATAAATTGAGTAGCGCCATTATGAATTTCCTCACTCAATCTTATAACTCGCCGTTTTCAATGTGTTCAGCACTTTAGTTTGTAATTCGTAAATATGGGTCACCCAGTTTTTAGCCCTCCAATTGTCATTTAAATTTGCGCTTGTTCATTCCATATTTGTCATTTGCTGAAGTAAGAGGGCGAAAAAACTGCGGTGAGTAAACCTTTCATTATTTAATGTATTTGTCGATTATTGTTGCCTATTAATTGTTCATTTATAGAAATAAATGCTTCCGCTACCATTTGTAAATGTTCGTAAATGTTTTTAATCGCCATCGAAGTGGAAACATTAAATTTGCAAGCCCTCGGACAAATAACACCGAAATTTGCAAAAAAGTGCATAGGGCAACCCAGTGATGGAAAAGTAGGCACAATAGAGCAAAGAATGCAAATCTATAAGAAGAGACAACACGTTATAATTGCAGCGAGTGTGAACATCAGGAGCGTGCCTTCTCTTTTCATCCAACCACAAAACGCATTTGGGCAAAAGAGAAAGCACGCTCCTGATGTTCCCACTCGTTACAATTCTAACGTGTTGTCTCTTCTTATAGATTTACGTTCTTCGAATAGTGCCATTTTTGACACTTTCATTCACAAGGGCACTTTTGGCACAATCATAAATTACAGAAATTTAGCCAGTTTATATAAAAACAATCATATATTGTTGATAGACTGGAAAAGTTAAAATTAAAATCACTTAAAAATTAGAACAAGTAATTTTCAAACAAAAAACAAAACCGACTTCAATTCTCATATAAAAATTTGAGATTATCGTTAATTCATTCATGATCCAATTATCGGATTTAAACCAAATTAGTATGGGACCACCTGTGAGTTAACACTTTTCCTTTAAAAAATTAGAATTATAGAAATACACACCATTTTACTATGATTTTACTCTAATAATTCAATGAAGTACATTAAAAATACTATTTATAAAAATACATATGTGGTTCTTAAAAAGCCTTAAAAAAGCCATTTCAATTTTGTGGCACTTTCAGCTCCTTTTCTTTTGCAGAGCATTAGGCACATTTTGAAATTTTGGAATTCCATCTCTGGGGCAAATCGAATTTATTTAAAAGCTACCCTGCCAGCCAAGTGAAATATCTGGTGAAACCGCGGGTTTCAGTCACTTCAAAACTGGTGACAAACTGGTGACATTTGTATGGGCGGTGTGCAGATTGTCACCACTTTCCCCCTGTACGTGTGAGCCTTGCATCACTGTCGCACTCATTCAGATAATTCGTAAGGAAAACATATAGCTGCACTTGTCTAGCATTGCCCCCTTCTGGCGGCTCAGGGTTGCATTCTCTTCACAGCGAATTCAAAATAACCATGGAAACTTTAAATACAAAATCCTAAAATGTTTTGATTTTTATTTTGCAACATTTTTTTTTTAAATGCATAATATTATGAATAAAACTTGTAATTAACAGTAATAAATATATTTTTACATACATACATATGCGCTGGCTTAATTTCTTATTATTAGTATTACTCATTTGCACATACATGGAAAATTTCTATAAGAAAGTTAAGCGAATTTAATAATATTATAATCAAAAGAAAGGTAATCGATTTATCTTTCTTTTCATATATATTAAAAGTTGCAAATCATTTATAATGGTTCACAAAAATTCAGTTTCATTACAACTTTGCAAAATTTGATTGCGTTTTTTCGACTTATATATAGACGGTTACAAAAGTTGCAAAATTTCTTTAAAGAAGTTAAGTGATTTTAACAATATTATAATCATAAGAAAGGTAATCGATTTACCTTTCTTTTGATATATATTAAAAGTTGCAAATCATTTATACTGGTTCACAAAACTTCAGTTTTATTACAACTTTGCAAAATTTGATTGCGTTTTTTCGACTTATATATAGACGGTTTCAAAAGTTGCAAAATTTCTATAAAAAAGTTAAGCGATTTTAACAATATTATAATCAAAAGAAAGGTAATCGGTTTAACTTTCTTTTGATATATATTAACAGTTGCAAATCATTTACACTAGTTCACAAAAAATCTGTTTTGTTACAACTTTGCAAAATTTTACCACTTTTCCACTGCTTATATATAGCTGTTTACAAAAGTTGCAAAGTTTTTATGAAAACGTAAAGCAATTTTAACGGTGTTATAATCAAAAGAAAGGTAATCGGTTTACCTTTCTTTTGATATATATTAACAGTTGCAAATCATTTATGGTGGTTCAGAAAAATTAAGTTTTCTTACAACTTTGCAAAATTTGACAAGTTGGACCTACACTTTGAAGGTGCTCCTGGCGTTGAAGGTGCTGAGGGCGGAAGGTACTCATGGTGCTCCTGGCGATGAAGGAGCTGAGGGTAGAAGGTACTGGTGGTGCTCCTGGCGATGAAGAAGCTGAGGGCAGAAGGTTCTAATGGTGCTCCTGGCGATGAAGATGCAAGCGTTGAAGGTGCTGATAGTGAATCCCAAATCTGTAAACAAGCAAAAATATCAATTAAAATTTATAAACATATAAAAAGTCTCAATACATACCTTAAGAATGTGACTAAGTCGCTGCTGTTTTGCAATCTAAAAGAAGAAATTACATTATAATTAAATAAAATTGTTAAATACGTATCCTTACCTTCAAAATTTTCGCAAAGTGACATTTCTTCACAGTATGTATACTGTCATCAAAACTCCGATGTTTCTAACTTGCTCGCTCTAACGCATAGAATTCTTGTTAGAGTACGAATTCTTATCGGGTATGTAGCTCTAACAAAGGGACATTTTTTGACAGTTCGAACAAAAAATTTGTAAGTGTGTTGGTGAGATGACTAAAAAGTTGTGAATGTGTTTGTAAATCGTTTGAATTTTAGGGGAAAGTGGTGGCCGTGGCTGGCAGGGTAGTGGTCAGATATTTGTAACATTTATTTTAAATAAAATTTTAATTCTTTGATTACACGTGTATCTTAAAGTTTTTGGATTCGGGGTCTGCGTTTGGACACAACAACCGAAAATCATTGTACAAATAACTAAACTGGANTGTCTAGCATTGCCCCCTTCTGGCGGCTCAGGGTTGCATTCTCTTCACAGCGAATTCAAAATAACCATGGAAACTTTAAATACAAAATCCTAAAATGTTTTGATTTTTATTTTGCAACATTTTTTTTTTAAATGCATAATATTATGAATAAAACTTGTAATTAACAGTAATAAATATATTTTTACATACATACATATGCGCTGGCTTAATTTCTTATTATTAGTATTACTCATTTGCACATACATGGAAAATTTCTATAAGAAAGTTAAGCGAATTTAATAATATTATAATCAAAAGAAAGGTAATCGATTTATCTTTCTTTTCATATATATTAAAAGTTGCAAATCATTTATAATGGTTCACAAAAATTCAGTTTCATTACAACTTTGCAAAATTTGATTGCGTTTTTTCGACTTATATATAGACGGTTACAAAAGTTGCAAAATTTCTTTAAAGAAGTTAAGTGATTTTAACAATATTATAATCATAAGAAAGGTAATCGATTTACCTTTCTTTTGATATATATTAAAAGTTGCAAATCATTTATACTGGTTCACAAAACTTCAGTTTTATTACAACTTTGCAAAATTTGATTGCGTTTTTTCGACTTATATATAGACGGTTTCAAAAGTTGCAAAATTTCTATAAAAAAAGTTAAGCGATTTTAACAATATTATAATCAGAAGAAAGGTAATCAGTTTACCTTTCTTTTAATATATATTAACAGTTGCAAATCATTTACACTAGTCACAAAAAATCTGTTTTGTTACAACTTTGCAAAATTTTACCACTTTTCCACTGCTTATATATAGCTGTTTACAAAAGTTGCAAAGTTTTTATGAAAACATAAAGCCATTTTAACGGTGTTATAATCTAAAGAAAGGTAGTCGGTTTAGCTTTCTTTTGATATATATTAACAGTTGCAAATCATTTATGGTGGTTCAGAAAAATTAAGTTTTCTTACAACTTTGCAAAATTTGACAAGTTGGACCTACACTTTGAAGGTGCTCCTGGCGTTGAAGGTGCTGAGGGCGGAAGGTTCTAATGGTGCTCCTGGCGATGAAGATGCAAGCGTTGAAGGTGCTGATAGTGAATCCCAAATCTGTACACAAGCAAAAATATCAATTAAAATTTATAAACATATAAAAAGTCTCAATACATACCTTAAGAATGAGACTAAGTCGCTGCTGTTTTGCATTCTAAAAGAAGAAATTACATTATAATTAAATAAAATTGTTAAATACGTATTCTTACCTTCAAAATTTTCGTAGTGACATTTCTTCACAGTATGTATACTGTCATCAAAACTCCGATGTTTCTAACTTGCTCGCTCTAACGCATAGAATTCTTGTTAGAGTACGAATTCTTATCGGGTATGTAGCTCTAACAAAGGGACATTTTTTGACAGTTCGAACAAAAAATTTGTAAGTGTGTTGGTGAGATGACTAAAAAGTTGTGAATGTGTTTGTAAATCGTTTGAATTTTAGGGGAAAGTGGTGGCCGTGGCTGGCAGGGTAGTGGTCAGATATTTGTAACATTTATTTTAAATAAAATTTTAATTCTTTGATTACACGTGTATCTTAAAGTTTTTGGATTCGGGGTCTGCGTTTGGACACAACAACCGAAAATCATTGTACAAATAACTAAACTGGACCCAAGTTTCTCTATAAGGGGCAACAAATATTCTTTTCGCTCGTTTATATAAAGCAGTGGATAAAAATATACGTATGTATATGCGAAAGACAAAATTATCTGTTTAAATGAACACCACTAATATTTCTTGCAAACACACATCAATTTACATCTTTTATTTCACCTCCGACACAGAATTGTTTTCGTACAAAATTACGTAGAAAAGCTTACGAACGACGTTTTGAGGCATGCCATTGTTACGAATTTCGAGAGTTGGACAATA